AAAACCAGCCCCAAGAATGCCGTGACTGCCGAACATGACTACAACCGCAGCAAAAGTCCTGAACTGATGCCACTGCCGGATTCGGATCCCGATACTCCAGCCAGACCAGATGGTAAAAAACACAAAGGTGATATAACTCTTGCTGATGTGCAAAACAACATTGCTACTTTAATTAATGAGCGCTCAGATAATCTGGAGGCTATGATCAGCAAGAATACTGTTAACATCGAGGCCATGAAGAAGTCTATTGACTTCATGTTCTTGGAAGTAGAATCTTTGAAGAATGTCACCAAAACCGTTAAAGCTACTTGTGAAAAAAACAGCAGCAGAATGTCTCAAGTAGAACTGAAGGTCAACGAAGTTGAAAGATACCATCGGAGATGGAATCTCAGGCTCTCAGGTGTCCCTGAGCAAAAGCAAGAAGACATCACCAGAAAAGTACTTGACATCTGCTCCACTGTTGCCGGGGAATCAAGTGCAGGATTCAAAAACAGTATTGATGTAGTTCATCGCCTGGGCCGCTACAACGAAACTCAGAAGAAACCAAGGCTGGTTATCATTCGATTTGTGACAAGATCAGCTCGTGACTTGATCTGGAGAAAAGCTAAAAACTGCTCCTTTCTGAAAGAAAACTACATGAGGTTCACTGAAGATCTGTCCTCTGCCGACAGAGCAATTCGAGAGAAGCTTTGGCCTCTTATTGATGCTGCAAGGAAAGAAGGAAAAAGAGCTCACTTTGCTGGGGTCCGTGTGATCATTGAGGGGAAAGAGGTGCACCCAACGCTCACTTCACCTGAGGTTCAAGCTGCACCTGCGTTGATGGAGGTTTCATGCCCCCTTTGAGGTATAAAGTTACAGATGTCAAAGGGGTTGTTTACAATTTTGAGGTTCAGGATAAAAGTTAATACCAGTTCCATGTTATCTATGGGAAGTAAACTGTTCATTAATTTGTGCTAAAGCCGCACTGTCTATATCACTTTGTTCTCTCAATGTCAGGGGTTTAAGAGACACTGTTAAGCGAAAAGCTTTGTTTTTGTTTGCAAATCAACAGAATACTGACTTTGTTTTTTTTCAAGAATCACATTCTGTTATTAAGGATACTGCTTTTTGGAAAACTCAGTGGGGCAAGGACCTATGGTTCTCACATGGATCGGAAAGATCGGCAGGAGTTACTACTCTGAAGAACAAATTTAATGGGAATGTTATGCACTCTGAAATGGACTCAGAAGGACACTATGTGTTAATGATTGTCAACATTGATGGTACACTTCTTCTTCTTGCCAACGTGTATGGTTTTAATTCTAAGTCTGATAATGACTTCTTACTGGATGCCCTTGAAACACGCTTTTTGTTCTGGTTATCCAAATACCCGAATCTCCTGTTATTAGTTGGAGGTGATTTTAACATTGCTCCAGATCCTTCACTAGACAGATGGCCACCTAGCTCAAATAACTCTCTGTCCTGTTGTTTAAATGTATTCATGCAAAAGTTTCATTTAATAGACATTTGGAGATTTAAAAACCCTAAAGCCAGACTATTTACATGGAGTAACAAATCCAACTCTTCTAAATCCCGTATTGACTTCTGGTTAATTTCTGATTGCTTAAATAGGGATAATGTTATAGCCAATATAATGCCAACT